ACTGACACCCAGGGTAACTTTCTAGAATCTTGAGATACTGACCCTCCAACTTGTCTTCCAAACTCCTGACATTATGCAGAGATGTATCCCGATGCACAAGGAATGTAAGTTCTCATGAAGTTTCTGATTCTGGGATTGTTTTCCACATTCTAAGAGGGCCAACCAAGTGTGTTCACTATGTGTACTTTTGCCCTGGGCACCTGGCCGTGGGGTTCATGGCTTCCTCTCCTGTGGGGGGAGGCCCACAGACTCACCTGCATGAAAGAGTAAAAAAGGCATCCATGCGGACCTGCAGCACGTTCCCCAGGAAAGGAATTGGGGTGGGGCCTGGGACAGCTTTCCTCCCTTATTGACTTGTTTCCAGGCTTTGAGGATGAACAGACAAGACACACTGAATGCCAGAAACATGGTCAAGGCCCCTCAAGTTCCATCATGCCACACGGAGAGAGAGGTTCACTCCTTGGCTTCAGGTCCTTCCTAAATAGTTTCTGGGAGCTTAAACTGAAATCTAAATATCCTGAAACTGAGGTGTGCTGGGTCTAAGGCCATCAGAGGAACAGATTCCTTGGCAGGGGTTTTATGTAACTTATAATCTCCCCCTGAGTACAAATGTATTGAATTCACCCTTGGGAAAATCTCTGGGGAGGGGTCTTCTCCTTTCTTCCTATTACCTTTTACTGCTTTTTGATTCTTTTTTTTATTGTCAGTCATGGGGCTTAAACTCGGGGCCTGGGCACTGTCTCTGAGTGCTTTTGCTCAAGGCTAGTGCTCTACCACCAGCCCCAGTGCCACTTCTGGTTTTCTGGAGGTTCATTGGAGATAAGAGTCTCATGGGGACTCTCCTTCTGGGGCTGGCTTTGAACTGCCATCCTCAGATCTTAGCCTCCTGAGTAGTTAGAGTCACAGGCATGAGCCACCAGTGCCTAGTTTTTCTTCCTGTGTTGAATTCCCCAGTTCTTCTCATCCCCTGGTTGAAAATTCCATGTAGTTTGGAAGATAGTTGAGTATCTTTGTTGAGTTTAGGACTCAAGACAAAGTAGGTTCTCAGGTTTAGCTTTTTCTCACTGGGAAGTGTCTATCCTTTTGGGTCTCAGTTTCCTGTCTATCAAGTATGGCAGCCATTCTATTGTAGTATGTGTGTGTGTGTGTGTGTGTGTGTGTGTGTGTGTGTGTGTGTGTGTATGCACGCACACGCTCAGACTGGGGTACTGCTCTTGCTTGACATTTCTATTCACAGCTGCTGTTCTACCACTTCAGTCCTCCAGCCCACTGAGGGTTTTTGCTCATTAATTGGAGATTAGAGTTTCATAGGGACTTTTCTGCCCAGGCTGGCTTTAAACCATGATCCTCAGATCTTACTTTCCTGAGTAGCTAGGATGACAGGTGTGAGCCACCGGTGCCCAGATCCCAATTCTTAATTATGACAAGAAGCCACAGGGAAAAGAATAATCTCTTCAAGAAACTCTTGGAGCCAGGCAGAAGTGGAACTGTGGCTCAAGTGGTAGAGCACCAACCTTGAGTGAGAAAGTTCAGGGACAGTGCTCAGGCCCTGAATTCAAGCCCCTGTCTTGGCAAACACACGCACACACACACACACAGACACACACACATGCATACACAAAGTCCAATTTCTTTGCCCCTCAAAGTCGTACCATACATAAAAAAAAGAGGAAGTAAGTATGAAAACAGGTACTTGTCACAAGGATTTCCCAGTTACTTGCTTAGCTCCTGGCCCAACACCTAACGGGACCCAGAAAGTTGGGTCCCTTTTGTCTGTCTCAGCCCTGCAAAATTGTTGCTACCATTAGGCAGAGCATTGCCAAAGCTTTGATAAATATAAGAAATTCACCTGAGCTATTTGGCAAGAACATCAGTCAGGCTGCTGCTGAGCACAAACATGCCAGGGACAGAGAGAGCATGGATCAGCCTCCAGGGACCTCAAAGAAAAGCACACAGTTCCAAAACACTTGGACCCAGTGTCGACACTGACATTACATGTGTCTTCCAGTTTGGCAAATGTTTACACACAAGGTCTAAAACTAACCTAAATTGTTGTTTTGGGGTTCTCTCTTCTATATCGTGCAAGAATTGATTGGTGACTTTTCTTTCCCCTACAAGGGAACACCATAAGCAATCACAAAGGGAATTTCTCATGCAAAACAACAAACAGACATCTGGCAGGCACCAGTGCTCACACCTGTCATCCTAGCAACTTCGGAGTCTAAAATCTGAGGATTGATGTTCAAAGCCCGTCTAGGCAGGAAAGTCCATGAGACTCTTACCTCCAATGAACTATTCAAAAGCCAAAAGTGGAGCTGAAGTTTAAGGCTCAAGTGGTAGAGTGCCAAGCTTGAGCGGACAAAAATAAAGGACAGTGCCCAGGCCTTGAGCTCAAGCCTAAGTACTAGCACACAGACAAAAAAAGCATATGTTGAAGCTCCTTTGAACAATGGATATTCATATGAATCAGTGTTGTTTTGGGGGCATCTGTAGGAACTGGTGGTGAGGCTTGGTGAACAGAGAGAGTGAGTGAAGGAGGGCAGAACGTGCACATTCAAGGGAGCTTATCTTTGTAGATCCAGGCTGCAGGGTAAAGCTGGGTACAGATTTTCAGTGGAAGGAGAAAGGTGAGTCTGGAGATTGAGTTCCAAGCAGAAGCAGCAGCTCTCATTCAAAGCCTGTGTGCATGGCTGAGCACAATCAGACCGTGCAGCTCCACGCCTGGTTATGGCCTTTGACAGGAGCCAAGTCCCAGACAGCTTTATGCCTTTTGCTGAGGTGTTTCTATCGCTTTTTATTACGTGTGTGTGTGTGTGTGTGTGTGTGTGTGTGTGTGTGTATGTATTCTATTTATTTTTTTTGTTTTGTTTTGTTTTGTTTTTGGGTCCGGTCGTGGGGCCTGAACTCTGGGCCTGGGCGCTGTCCCTCAGCTCTTCAGCTCAAGGCTAGCGCTCTACCACTTGAGCCACAGCACGACTTCCGGCATTTTTCTTTTTGCTTATGTGGTGCTGAGGAATCGAACCCAGGGCCTCAGGCATGCAAGGCAAGTGCTCTACCACTGAGCCAACTTCCCAGCCCCTGTATTCTATTTTTTTGATCATGAGGCTTGAACTCAGGTCATGGGCACTGTCTCTGAGCTCTTTGTGCTGAAGGCTAACACTTTACCACTCTGAGGCACAGCTCTACTTCTGGTTTTTTAGTAGTTCATTGGAGATAAGAGTCATGGAGTTGGAAGGGGGAGACTTTTGTGCTCAAGCTGGCTTTGAACTGTGATCCTCACAGATCTCAGCCACATGAGTAGCTAGGATTACAGGGGTGAGCCACTAATGCCTGGCTGAGAAAGAAATACAATGAAGGACAGACACAAAGGAAACAAATTCCAGAGAGAAAGGATTGTCCTCTTTTTCTTCCTTCTTCCCTCTCTCCCTCCCTCATCCCCCATCTCTCTCTCTCTCTCTCTCTCTTTCTTTCTTTCTTTCTTTTATCTTTCTTTCCTTCCTTCTTTTTTGCCAATCCTGGGGCTTGATCTCAGGTGCAAGGTGCTGATCCTGAGCCTCTTGGTGCTCAAGGCCAGGGCTCTACCACGTGAACCACAGCCCTGGTGGCTCCTATCCATGCTCCCCCTATTCTGCATGGAAATTACACACAAAGGATTTGCTTTCAGAGGAAGAATGGGGCCCCAACCCACCTCAGCAGCCAACAGAAGATCCAAATAAGCCTTGATGCTCGCTCTTTTTGGAGTCTGCTCTAGGCAGACAGGCAATTATTCATGGAAGTCATGAGCCAACATCCACGTCCTACTTATCCCCAGCCGCCAATCAATAGCTCCACCAAATCCTGTGTTCTTCTAAAGCCTGTCTCCTAGGCCCAGAAGCAAGCAGATGGACAGAGTTTGTGCATATGGGTGGAGCAACGTTTCTGCCCCACCCATTCTGTGAGGCCCAGCATCAACCCCAGAGACCTCAGGCCAGCCTCAGAGCCCAGCACCTGTCCTAGGCCCAACACAGTTTCTACCCAGCCGGGAAGATTTCTGGATCCAAAGGTATTATACGCAGCCGTGAACTTTCCTTATGACCTGACCCCTATCTTGTACTATTAGTAAATCTTAAACTAACTTTAAAAGAAAAGAATAAAAGGAGCCCACTTAGCTGAGCACTGGTGGCTCACATCTTTAATCCTAGTTACTCAAGAGGCTGAGATCTGAGGGTTGCAGTTCGAAGCCAGCCTGGGCAAGAAAACCCCTGAAATTCTTATTTCTAATGAACCACCAAAGAGCTGGAAGTGGAGCTGTGGCTCAAGTAGTAGAGTGCTAGCCATAGGAACCAAAGCTAAAAGGATAGTGCCAAGGCCTTGAATTCAAGACCCAGGACAACTCTCTCTCTCTCTCTCTCTCTCTCTCTCTCTCTCTCTCTCTCTCTCTCTCTCTCTCTCTCTCTCTCTCTCTCTCACACACACACACACACACACACACATACACACACACACACACAAAGGCAGAAAGGTCAAAATATAGGGCCTATCATTATGTACTACTGTACTAGAGTATCAAGCTTGATATTCTTTGTGTCATTTTCTTGAGAGTGTGCCATCCTAAGACTTTAACTCGGGCCTGGGAATTGTCCCTGAGCTTTTGTGCTAAAGGCTGGCACTCTACCACTTGAAACAGAGCTCTACTTTCTGCTTATTTGGTGGTTCACTGGAGGTAAGAGTCTCATGGACTTTCCTGCCCCAGCTGGCTTTGAACTGCAATCCTCAGATCTCAGCCTCCTGAGTGGCTAGGATGACAGGCATGAGCTCAACTGAGCAGTGCCCCTGCTCAATCTGATGTTGAAAAGCAAGGAATGAAACATCCAAAGATCTGGTAGTTCCTGGCTTGCATTCATCCATCAATCTGCCAAACTCTGGCTAACCCTCTGGTTTACCCTACCAATATTCTGCCAATGTAGCCAGGTGAAACAGAAGCAAATTCTATATCTTCCAGGCATGACCCTTCTCCCTGCCGGGCCGTACCTTCATAAGGGCATTGTACATGTCTCCCGTATCCAGCTGGAGGTAATTCCCAATGAGGGGCAGTGGGGTGGGGCCAGGAGGCAGCTTCTTCCAGAACTTCTGGTTCCAGACAGACATCAGCACCATGGTGCTCAGGCATACTGGATGGCCACCAGAAGCATGCCTGAGGCCAGCATGGTGGCGACGGAGGCGACAAGCAGGGATTGGCTGGGGCAGTGTGCATTTAGGCTTTTGCTCCTATTTATTTAATGTGTCACTTTACTGCTCAATCTCATCCCATCCACCCCCATACCTTGCAACACCCTCAGCTGGGAAGGACAGGGCACACACAGCTGGGCACACTCACAGGTTCCGGAGCTCCAGGCTGAATTCAGAGCTGGGGAGTGGAGATTTTCAAAGCTGCGTGGCTGATGCCTGAGACAGGACTTGGAACCCCAGACTGAAGACAGGCCAAAGACATAGAGATTTAGGGGATCCACAGTAGAATTGAAATCCTTAGATTTATTGGTGGTGACAACAGGATGTATGGGTTGGGAATCTCTCTATAACAGAGACAGGATCATGAAAATCAGAAAGCCATGGGCCAGTGACACACACACATAATCCTTGCTACTCATTGTACTTAGATCTGGGGGTTGCAGTTCAAAGCCAGCCAGGTCAGGAAAGTCTATGAGACTCTTCCCTTCCATAAACTACAAAAGAGTAGGAAGTGGAGCTGTGGTGCAACAGGTAGAACACTAGCCTTGAGCAAAAAAGATTAGGCAATGCACAGTCCCCGAATACAAGCCCCAGGATCAACATTAAAAAAAAATCTAGGAAGGAGATGCTAAGATTATAAATTATAGCTGTGGTTGTAAGGATCTCTAGGTGAAATTCTTCCTTCTCCCTCCTATCTCTCTTCTTCCTCCTCTCCCTCGTCCTCCTCCTTCTTCTCTTACAAGACAAGCAAAGACCAAGCCCTGGTGGCTCATGCCTGTAATCCTAGCTACTCAGGAGGCTGAGATCTGAGGATCACAGTTCAAAGCCAGCCCAGGCAGGAAAGACTGTGAGACTCTTATCTTCAATTAACCACCAATATAACAGAATTGGAGTTGTGGTTCAAGTGGTAAAGCACTCACCTTGAGCTGAAGAGCTCAGGGACAGTGCCCAGGCTGAGTTCAAGATTGGTATATTCATATGTGAGAAAGTGTTAAGAACAATGTAAAGAGACAATTGTTGAGGGGAAGCCCCCCCTCCCAACCAGGAGAGACTACACAGGCTCAGGGAGTACTGTCAAAAGAAAGTCTTTAATACTGGCTGGGACTACACTGGACAGTCAGGTGCCCCAAAAGTGTAGTGCTCAGTCTGGTCTCATGGCCCCTTTGAATACAGAAAACCACACCCCTTTTATTCGCTCAGGGGAGGAAAGTAACTGAGGATTCTTTTCTACAGGTGCAAGCCTAATGTGTAGTTACAGAAGCTAAATCAATATTGTACTCGGGAAAGATGGATGTCAAATATCCAAGTGACACACTACCAGGCACTTCTCCTGGATCAACCTTGTATCAGGTTCTGCAGAACATCAACCCTGAACCCAGCAAGCTTGTTGCTCGATGATGACCTCTGCATGACTGTACAGGGGTAACTGACCTGATCTAGTCTGCCAGACTGGACTTGCCTAATGCCCCGCTGCCGGAGGCAGAGGAGGTATACATGGACAGGAGCAGTTTTATTCAAGATGGGATAAGGTATGTGAAGGCAGCAGTCTCCACCAAAGATCAAGCAGGAAGTGGTGCGGTGGCTCAAGTGGGGGAGTGCTAGCCTTGAGCTGAAGAGCTGAGGGACAGTGCCCAGACCAGAGTTCCTGGCCCATGACCGGAAACAAAAAAAAAAAAAAACAAGATCAAACAATATGGGCTCAGTCACTCAATCAAAGGATGTCAGCGCAAATGGCTGAAATTATCACCTTGGCACAGGCATTGAGATGGGAAAGAGACACGGCCATGAAGTATACACAGTCAGCAAGTATGCATTTGCTACTACTCAGGTACCCAGAGCTATGTATCAGGAGAGGAGGGCTCCTCACCTCAGCTGGGAAGGAGATTTTGGCTTTACTAGAAGCCATTTGGATAAACTAGAAATTGGACATTGTGCACTGTTAGGGACACCAGAAGAGAGAATCTCCTGAAGTTCAGGGGAACAGGGTGGCAGATCTGGCAGCCAGGGAGGCCCGCTAGAATCAGTGGGGCCTCTCCAGGGTCTGGTAATGCTGCCGGAGCCAGATCTGCTCCTAGACCCTCCCACACATCAGAGGGAAAAGAATGGGCAGAGCATCTGGGCTTCAAGCTAGAAGGAACAGGGTGGCTGGTTGCCAGACAGAGACCCGTTCTCTCAGCAGTGCTGGGAAAACAGTTGGTGACTCAACTCCACTAGACCAGGCATCAAGGAGCCTCCAAGCTTGCTGAGCTCCGTAGGCCCAGGTACTACATCCCTAGACTGGATTATATTGTTAAGGGTGTCACACTAGCTGCCTTACCTGTGCTCATATGAATCCTAAAGGGGAAGAAGGGCCCCGGAAGGAATACGGTCCCGAGGCACCTCACCTGGAAAGCATTGGGAACTGGACTTTACTGAAATCAAACCTACTGTTTTTGGATACTGATACCTCCTGGTATTCGGGGACACTTTTTCAGGCTAGGCAGAAGCTTTTCCCACCTGGACTGAAACAGTTTCAATACTCACCAAGAAGTTACTTAAAAAATGAGTTCCTACCTTTGGCCTACCAATTACTCTGGCCTGGCTTTGACAGCCAAAATATCCCAAATTATGGCCAAGGCATTAAATACCAATTGGAAATTACATTCTGCCTATAAGCCACAGAGTTCAAAGCAAGTAGAGAGGATGAATAGGATCCTAATGGGAACCTTGACTCCGCTGGTCTGAGAAACAGGCAAAATTTGGACCCGCCTTCTTCCCTTTGCCCCCCTCAGGACTAGATGCATCCATAGCAGGAGGGGGTTACTGTCTATGCGATCATGTTTGGAAGACCATCACCTATCCCCCGAGATGAAGAGATGTCCCCAGAGCAGAGAGGACTAATCACTCTCCCAAGTCATCGTAGGCCCTCCAGCCCACTCGCAAGGCTATTCACCAGGCAGTCAGAGGAGCAGACCCCAGCCTGCACTCGAGCCAGTCCACAGATTCCAACCAGAGGACTTGGGGTGGGTGAAAAGAGTTCCTGCTCAGACTTTAGAACCAACCTGGAAGGGATCTTATCCTACAATCCTGAGCACACCAATGGCTGTGAGGGTAGCTGGTGATCCCTCCTATATCCACCAGCTGCAGCTAAAGGAAGCAGCAGATGAGAAAGAAAAATGAACAGTCACCCAAACTTCTGATCTACTAAAGATAAGACTATGACTGGCCCCTTAATGGTTATATTTATTTTATGGGTCAGGCAATATACAACAACCTCTGTCTCCAAACATGGGAATGGCAACTCAGAAAGACAGGGGATGGGAAACTTCTTGCAAACTACTGCTACTTCTTGTAACTACTGCTACTCAACCAATCTTTTTTTTTTTTTTTTTTTGACGATCATGGATTTGAACTCTGGGCCTGGGCGATGTCTCTCAACTCTACATTCATGTTAGGACTAGTGCTCTACCACTTGAGCCACAGCGCCACTTCTGGTTTTCTGGTGGTTCAATGGAGTTAAAAGTCTCACAGACTTTCTTGCCCGGGCTAGCTTTGAACCATGATCCTCATATCTCAGCCTCCTGAGTAGCTAGGATTATAGGCCTGAGCCACTGTCACCTGGCTAGTCAACTCATCTTGAAAGAGGATCTTTGCTCCACAATAAATCCATTTGTTTACCATCAAGGCAAGTATGGGGAGGGGGCAGCTGAGGCTACAAATGTGCAAATGCGACTATAGAGAAAACTACCAGTCTATTCAACTCTATGAGTGTCTTGCTACCGCAGGATCCTCTAACCAAGGGGAGGGCCACTACTGCTGTGCCCACTGGGATTGTGAGACAGAGGCAGCGTGAAAACATGTAGATTCTTATGTCTCTGTGTTCTGGGAAAGAAAATCTGCGATCCGTTGTTTGGGCAGTTGTGATCCCATGATGTCAAAGTTTTGGCCTGGAATGCTGTTAGTAACCTTGGCTGGGAGACTGGAAGGACCCGGGCAGCCAGGCTCTATGTGACCCAGGGTCAGGATCCCGGAGAGAAGTTCACCATACAATGGAGGCTCCCACGTTGAGACTCTCAGCCTATAGGCCCTAACTCTGGTTTAGTTCTACCAGTACCCCAGAGGCCTACAGATCACAGGCATTCTCAGGTCCCTACAGTTACCACTTATGGACTGATCCCAATCACAGTATCCCAAGATCCGGAGGCTTGTCTCTCAATGTTAAGCCTGTTAGAGAAGGTCCATCAAGTCCTAACTCATTCTAGTCCAAGTCTAGGTCAAGACTGTTGATTGTGCTTGGACCTGCAACCTACTTACTACACAGAGGTTGAGACTAACCAGACCTTCACTCCTGTTAAAAATCCAACAGGTTGTAATCCCTGGAATCACCCTGGGGAGCCTTCAAGGTCCAGCAACCTTGTTGCCTTGTCTAACTATGACTCACTAAAGAAAATTCCCTACACAGCTGCCTGCTATGCTACCCTGCATATATCAAGAGTAACAAACCAACGAGATTATTACCAAGCCAGTTGCTGGTGGCTCACAACTGTAATCCTAGGGAACAAGGAGGCTGAGATTTGAGGATCACAGTTCAAAGCCAACCCAGGCAGGAAAGTCCATGAGACTCTTATCTCCAATAAAACCACCAGAAAACCAGAAATGGTGCTGTGGCTCAAGTGGTAGAGCTGAAGTGCTCAGGGACAGTGACCAGGCCCAGAGTTCAAGCCCCACAATGGACAAAAAAAAAAAGAAAGAAAGAAAGAGATTATTATCAAACTCCAGAGACTATCTGTTTGGCATGCATGAATGGATTAGCTAAGTGTGTACCTTCTGATTTATTAGAAGGCCAAGAAGGGTGAGGTCTTCGTGTATTACTCCAAGTCACTCCCCAAGTGTACAACTACAGTGGCGAAGAAGGAAGAGCCTATATTCACATAGATGCAGGACTAGTCTGAACTCAAAGGGCCATTCAATTCCTCATCCCCTTTTTAGTGGGAGCATG